GCTAATAATGAATTATTGGCATTCAATTACTCTACTGTGTTGTTGTTGTTAGGGACCTAAATTAGTTTTTGGACCAGCATGTCCAAATATTTCTAATACTCCATACAAAAATATGTAAATGTTGGAGACTTGGCAACATTGTGTTGAATACTGTGCAAATCTGCTAAAGGTGAACGTAAATAAAACAAAATGGATGTTATTAGGAAAACATAAAGATTATAATAATGAAAATCTACTTCTAAGATTGAATGACAGTGATATGGAAAAGGTGAACAAATTCGTGTACTTGGGTGTTACCATTGACAATGAATTGAAATTCAAGGAACATGCTAATCAGGTCATCAAAACAGTAGCTTACAAAGTCAATTATTTAAGAAGATGTTCCCCATATCTAAGCCAGTGGTCTAAACTATTAGTATAAAACTCCATAATCCTTCCACATTTGAATTACTGTTCCACCATTCTGTTTTTTCTTAACCAGAATGAAATAAACAGACTACAAAAGATGCAGAATCGTGCTATGTGAATAATCTTACAATGTTCAAGGATAACACCGATAGCAAATATGTTGCAAACCCTACAATGGCTACCAGTGAAAAAACTCTTCGAGTATCAAACACTGATTTTCATTTTTAAGAGGGGTTTAACCCTATGAGCGATCATTGGGGAAACAAGGAACGGCAGAAATCAAAATACTCGAAGCTCGCTGAATAAATTTAAGATTTTTTTTCACGGATCGTTTCTAGAAGGTTGGATCTAGGCATCTCTCGGAGTACTTTTTCAAAATTTTGAAAAAAAATACTCGAAAAAAATTCCAGAAAATTGACCAGATTCACTATTTTTTTTCTCACTAGGTATATATTTTTTTTGAAAAGTACTTCGAGAGATGCCTCACTTATACATTTATCTTCGTTGTCAAAAAAATTCGCAAGGATCCATTCAAAATATCACCATCAAAAGTGATTTTTGCTGGACCTCTGCAGACGCAATTTTGGATCATTTTTCTTCACTGATACGAGCGCCCTCACACGAATATGCACTTCTACATGGATACTATGAATGGTTGAATGAATAGTGAATTCATTCATAAAAAGTAGCACTGAAGCTATTCAGACAACTTTAGCACTGGAGATGAAACCAAAAGAAGTTTTAGATGGGTTGATTGAATTTTTGAATACGACGTATAGGTACGTTTATTAGGTAACCCATATAATGAAAATACGTATGGTTTGTAGGTAGGACCCCAATTCCAATTTCAAAATGCGAATACAGGCGAATATAAGGAATGCCAGAAGTTCCATCATATTTATTCTAGGTAATAACTGGTATTATATAATATACGAGTTACATATATTTTAATATTCTTGTCAACATTAAGAATTTTCCTTTTGGAAATATATAAACAGAGAAATCTCTCATTGAAAAATAATAGTTTCGCTCCAGGTGACTCACCCAATTAGATGATAAAATATTGAACATGTTTGGCAAGCGGCAAGCGATGGACATAAAGGCGGTGAGCATAAAAGCGGCGGACATAAAGGGTCCGAAAATCCTGGAATTAGTGTTATACCGTGTTATACACGGGGGAATATTGTTTTTGTTCAGTTTACTTCAGTATTCCGACAGTGACATTTGCGTTTTTCAATATTTGTGCATTATTTGTGTGAGCAAAAGTTACCTATAATGCCGAGAAGTAATTATCGAACTGCGGTAATAAATACCGCAGAAGACAGTCTGTCAAAATATACCTCGCAATGATGAATGTTGGCAAAATAAAATGTAATCGAAATAGTGGATAGTAGATTCGAAACTTCGAAAAGAATATGGAGATTACAAATTGAAGTTGTTCCTGTAATATATACAGGGTGTCTCAGGTTTAGCTCGTCTAACTTTGACAATCGGAAGCAAAAATTGAAATATTATACACGTATTTTTTTGTTTTGTCGTGGAGACACTTGTTTTCATTATACGAGGTCGCATGAATTTTTGGTTTTTATTTTTTATTTCTGTTGAAACCAAACCTAGAGATTTGACATTCGGTAAGCACTTTTCTATCTGTTATCGTTGATTGATATACGTAATATATCAATCAACGCTGTTATATATGAACTGTCCCTATCCTTCTTAGTTTCCCTGTTATTCGAAATAATGTTACAACTACTATGCATAACAATTTTATATCCTAAATGTTTATCTTACATCAAATTATCATTCGAATTGAATATTGAATGGTTCACGTACACGAAAGATATTGAAACAAATGAAAAACACAAAGTGTGGTGAAGAAATAATAATGATTTTTCATTAGCTTCGATCCACCACTAGCGTCCCAATAAAAAAAAAATCTGACGAATTCTATATCAGAGGGCTCGAAAAAGAATAACATCGTTACTCCCATTGGGGGTGAAGATAACACCCAGTTTTTTCAATGGATAAGGACTGTTCATATTGCCGATAGAAAAGTGCTCACCGAATTTCAGATCGCTAGGTTTTGTTTCAACTGAGACAGAAATTAAAAACCAAAAATGTATGCGAACCTTAACACGCTGTATAATTAAAACATGTTTCTCCATGACAAAACAGAAAAATACGTATCTAATATTTTGAGTTTTGCTATCAATTGTCAAAGTTAGACGAGTGAAACCTGAGACACCCTGTATATGGCGTTGTTTATTACACAATATAAATTCTGTTTATACAAACCAAAAAATTCCACTCATGTAATAGTTATTTTTCTTCCCCTGTAACAATGCATTTTGATATTCCATTTGCATTTGTCTTCAATCAATAAATCATGTATAGGTGAGTGCAAGCCATTCGAATAGCAGTATTTTTCTGTAAAAAATTCCCTTTCGGTTTTTCCCTATCTTGAACTGTTTTTGCTGCCTTTCTATTATTCAGATTCGTACTTTCGAATTATATTTTTGCAGTTGAGTTTATACATACCACTAATTTATGCTCATATATAGGGTATACCGGGTATATTCTTTTGAAAACTTCTCACCCATTTCTCACCCCTACATTTTTGAGGGGCTGGTGGCTGGCGTCAGTGATGGCAAAGGGGATGAAACGAGCAAGGTGATTTTTACGTGAAAACATGTCCTCCTCATAGTTATTAGTGTAGCGGGACACAATGTGAAAGTAATCAAAAAAAATTTTGGAAGTAGAAAGATATCAGACCCTCACTATCCTATCTAGAAACAATTGACTACTTTTTTCTATGGTACCGAAAAAAGTTACACTACACTGTTTTACCACTAACCAAACCGATTTTTTAACGCCTCGACACGTGTTTCGCTAACTATGTTAGCATCTTCAGGAGAAGATTAAAATTTTAATCTTCTCCTGCAGATGCTAATATAGTTAGCGAAACACGTGTCGAGGCGTTAAAAAATCGGTTTGGTTAGTGGTAAAACAGTGTAGTGTATTATCGTGCCAAAGGTTCCAGTCCTCGATATACCGAAAAAATTTATAAACGAACATACTCAAAAATTACTAAAAAAATCTACTTCGCATGTAAATGTATATACCTTTGTAACTTGTAGACTACATAACTTAGATGCCTCAACTTCTCATCATTTTGTTGAGGATATTATGAAGATTCGATCCATGGTATATAAATTGAGTTTTTATATGTGAAAATAAATTTTTTGTCACGCATTACATGAGTAATTTAGCATTAACACCTCTTCAATTGATAATAACTTTCTTTTTCACGATATGAATTTCAATTTTTTTCTCCCATCTAGATAGATTGAAGTGTAACGAACAATTTGTTTCGAATAAACTTTTCGCACGTTTCAAAAATAAACTTTTTATAGCGCTTTGAATGACAACGTGCAACTTTAGATAGGTCATGCACAGTGAGTGAGACAGAGTGCAATAGATACTGGTGCATGAGTGCGGAACGAAGATGAAATAATATCAAGAGCTCCATCCACAGATATGATGAATATAATAGATTTATATCGATAAATTTACATATTTGCTCGCAAAGAATGTCAATTTTAATATAAAACATTCAATCTAACTAAAATTTATCACAAATTCCTCTCAAAGACTCTGAAAAAGTTTTTTATTATAAATATACCATATTGGTATACTATAGTTTGTCCAGCTGTATAATGTTGATCAATTTTTTTTTGGGAACTCATGTTTGGAAAATTCTAGCAATCTCCCAATATCTTCTTGGTATTTTTTTCTTTACCATTTTCACTTCGTTGCCTTTGAAGTGAATCATTTTGGGACCATATTTATGAACTGAAGTTATTTACCTACATATTCAACCAAGAACGCTCCTTTCTCCTCCCCGAATCTTTACTGTTTGTTCTTGTCTAGAGCACGTAAACGCCGCTGTATCGTTCTCACTCGTGCGCTCGGATGGCCTCTTACGTATTAGACAATAAATGCTTCTACAATGTTCATTTTTGAAACGTGCGAAAACTTTATAGGAAACAATTTGTTGCTCACATTTCAATATATCGAAAGATATCATAAAAATCGAAATTCATATCGTGAACTAAAAAGTTATGATGAACTGAAGAGATGACAATGGACATTTTTTCGCGAATTCTGTACAAAATGATACATTTTAGATCGAAAAATAATTCAATTTCCCAACATATTATATATGAATCGAATCTCCAGAATATGCTTAATCATATTATGAAAAGACTACGTATATAAGTGCTATAATTGCGAAGTTACAAAGGTTTATATATTTACGCGCAAAGTTATTTTTTTCTTAAATTTTCGAGTTTGGTCGCCTATAACTTTTTTCGGTACAATAGAAAAAAGTAGTCAAGCTGGAATATTATGTAATAATCATATATATTCAAGGTGGTGAAGGTCCTATATCTTTCTACTCTGAAAAAAAAAGTCTGTAAGGAAGAAGATTTTGCCTCGTTCTCCTCTTAGATGTATATTGCCTATAGCACAACGCACAACTTGTAAGCTGTGCCTGTGGAACTTATTCGGAGAATTCAGACGACCGACCGCAGATGCCCTTCCTCAAGCAAGGGGTAACACTCAAGGCCGCTTTTACTATAAATGTTGAAATATTTTACGCTAGAATGAGTTGGAGTGAGACACTAGACGACTTTCTTCGTTATCGGGCCCCGCCTCCTTCGGACAGGATTTTTACTTCCCCCTTTACACCTTAGATTAAGTTTGACCTTTTTCAGAGGGTAAACCCCATCTTAAAATCAAAATTGCATATTCACCTGTATATCTACAGAATAAATTATCATATGTGGCTGAAATACATGAATATAATACAAGAAACAGAAACAATATAAAAGTTGAAAAATATAAAAAAAATAGTACACATAATTCCTTATTTTATAAAGGAGTAGATTGTTTTAATGACCTCCCACAAGAAATTAAAGAGAGTGGTTCGATAAATACATTCAAAAGACGATTGAAGGATTATTTAATGAAAAATTAGTATATAATTATTACTTTTTTTGTACCTAGTTTTTATTTACACGTATGTATTTTTTATTCAGACCGATTGTATTTTTTCATGTTAATCTAAGTTTATTTATATGTGAATGTATTTACTATTGTGAATGAATTAGTTTTTCAACTAAATAAAGAGATATATATATACTGGGAACTGACAAGACCACGCCCACAAGTCGTGCGCCGTGTTGTCACGTTCACCGATTCAAATGTCCTCTAGTGTGAATTGATATATTATTATTTACACAAATATATTATGAGCAATAAGCCACAATTCATAAGGGATCATTTTGAGACAATTGAATTTTTATTGCCAATTAGGAATATTACCAATACTCAATTGAGAACTTAAGGATTATCAAATAACTATAAAATTTCTGAAGTTCCCAATCGTATTTCAAGACATGGCAACTTTGCTATGGTCTGCCTCTATTTACGGAATCGTGGCGTTAGTTCTTACTGGCGGTAAATTTCTAGCCGTTTGAAAATCACCGTGGCATTATTGATGTTAGCACCTAAAAATCGACCGAAAAATTGTCAAAAAATTAGATATTGATAGGTATTTGGGTGACTGGGTGATGATTCTGTTTAGGAAATAAAAAAAAGTCAACTCTCCTATTATAATCGTATACGTTTAATTTTGATAATAACAGGTGTGATGTTGATTATTCACATTAAACCTGTTACTACAAAAATCTCAATACTCGTTTTGAAAAATCATTCTCTATTAGAGAGTTGAAGTGCTGCCATGAACGTTAACGTACACGTAGGAATTGACAGCTACACATGCGCATTTACTGTTTTTCCAAGTTTGCGTTGGGGTGTACGTTCTCTTGCGTACTTTCATGTACACCTTAAATATCAACGTACGATAACCGAAATTTAAGTGGTGTGTATTTAGATCTATGAGATTACTGAAGCCTGGACCCCCAAAAAGTTATTCCTCAAGGATTCCGCTCATTTTAACACGAATTCATGTTCAGATCGAAACAACCAACCAGAAAACAAAAAATCATTTTACGTTATTACGACACTGATGACTTGACTTTGAATCAATTTAAGGATAATCCGTAAACGTTATTTTTCGTACTATAACGTCTACGTACAGTGTGTACTTCAACTCTCCCGCCAATTTGGCATGGCGCATTCCCATGTGATAAGCTCACGCTAATTTCGCGTGCAATACGAGCAATACCTTATGATCATCCAATCATCAATAAGATTTATTGAAAACGAATGATTATTATAATGTGCTGTTTGGAAGTATGGAACAAATGTCCAACTGACAGCTCAAGGTCATATAGTTGATTCTAAGATATCTACTGTCACACGTTCACTGATTCAAGAGAAAATGTAATGAAAAAATCCATTTCTTGACGGCAGAGAATAACTGATTTTGCGCGATATTCAGAAAAAAAACTCAAAAAAAAAATAAAAAAACTCAAACAAATAAAAAAATATAATATGATGCCTTTTGAAAAAAAAAAAAGGTTGACAGTCGCTGTAGTTTGAGTTTAAATCAGAAGGGAATATTGTTGGTGCTACTTTGTAGTACATAACAAGTCATTCAATTTTGTTTCTGGTTATTTAAAATCGGATAATGAAAAATTTCGATAGCGGCCTTATGGTTTTGGGTGTTGTTAGTCATTCACCCTGTATATTTCAGAAAATAACTTGTCATCATATGCATGTTCATAACAAAAAAATATATGAAATTAGCTCCATGAATAAACTATTATGGATTGATCACAAGGCAGTTCTTCACGAAAAATAGCGTGGATCAATTATAAGGAAATGCTCCACGCGAAATTTCCGTGGATTAACCGAGAGAGAATGATCCACGCGAAACGTTGACGTTACTATACCTTCATGACGCAATGCGCGTAGTGGAATTCTGAAAACAAGATCAACTTCAGCCTGGTCTACAATCGAATCAAAAAGTGCAACTACCTGTTGAAATCTATATACACCGGCCGACTTGGATGTGGTTCGACCTTATTCGAACAAAGGAAAAGCCGTGCAAAATCGATTGCTATACACACTTGCCGAAATTTAATGAAATACGAGGTGAGACCATCAGAGTATGTTCCGATGTTCACTAAAAATTTAAAAATACAAGATGATATTGTTAGAATTTGTTTTTTTCATGAAAATAATAAGTAATGTGTGGTGAGTTCGATAGAACGTGTTCACCTTTTTTGTTTGAATCAAGTAACAGGTGAAACAAGAATTGTATTCTACCTCTCTTATAATATCATATAAGTGTCATAGTTCTGCACAACCCCATAAAACAGAATGATTGTTAGTTCGGCCTGGTTTTCATTAAATTTCATATTACTATGAAATTAGGGATAAGATCGTTGTAGAATGTTCCGAAATTTGCTTGTCTTTTAATACCAAAACCTTCAATGATTTCGATGTAAAAAAAATGAATGAACTTTGTTCTATTCTGGCAGGAGCCGCTGAGGGAATGTCCCGTTAGACCCAATTTTCGATTTGCCCAATTTTCGATTCTCCCAATTTTCGATTGATCTTATTTTTGATTCACCCACCGTCTCTGAACATACCCGAAAGATGCGTTGTTGCCAAATAATGCCACATTTCCTCGGATGCAATGAAACTGGAATTATCAACAATCATTTCACATTCAGATATGTCGTTGGGCCAACATTTCGTTTCGCCCAATTTTCGATTCACCCAATTCTCGATTCCCCCAATTTTCGATTCACCCAATTCTCGATTCCCCCAATTTTCGATTCACCCAATTCTCGATTCGGCCGAGTTAGGTAGATCAGGTATGTTAGGTAGGTTAGGTAGGTTAGGTAGGTTAGGTAGGTTAGGTAGGTTAGGTAGGTTAGGTAGGTTAGGTAGGTTAGGTAGGTTAGGTAGGTTAGGTAGGTTAGGTAGGTTAGGTAGGTTAGGTAGGTTAGGTAGGTTAGGTAGGTTAGGTAGGTTAGGTAGGTTAGGTAGGTTAGGTAGGTTAGGTAGGTTAGGTAGGTTAGGTAGGTTAGGTAGGTTAGGTAGGTTAGGTAGGTTAGGTAGGTTAGGTAGGTTAGGTAGGTTAGGTAGGTTAGGTAGGTTAGGTAGGTTAGGTAGGTTAGGTAGGTTAGGTAGGTTAGGTAGGTTAGGTAGGTTAGGTAGGTTAGGTAGGTTAGGTAGGTTAGGTAGGTTAGGTAGGTTAGGTAGGTTAGGTAGGTTAGGTAGGTTAGGTAGGTTAGGTAGGTTAGGTAGGTTAGGTAGGTTAGGTAGGTTAGGTAGGTTAGGTAGGTTAGGTAGGTTAGGTAGGTTAGATAGGTTAGGTAGGTTAGGTAAGTTAGGTAGGTTAGGTTGGCTAGGTTAGGTAGTTTGGAAAAGGTAGTTTCCTTCCTTATGCAGAAAAGGATATTTTCCTTCCTTATATTACGCGAATCGAAATTTGGGTGAATCGAAATATGTACCATACATACATATTATGTGTATTGAAAAATTGAAAAATTTAATAATGATAAGCCCAGCATGATTCTTCATTCAGATTTGGCAACAACGCATCGTTCGGGTATATTCGGAGATGTTGGGTGAATCGAAAATTGGGCCGAACGCAACCTGTCGCTGAAAACTACGTTTTAACTTTCTATGGAATGGCGATTTTTTGAAGTATCACAAATTATTCATTGAAAAATGATGCATTCATGTTATATAACCACTATATACAGGGTGTCCCTGAAAGGTCTGTACAAAACGAGCCGATTCAAAGCAACTTACCTCAGTTCGAAAATGCTTCGTTCCCGAGATACCGGGTGGTGAAGTTAAAAAATAAAAATCGAATCAGAATTTATGAACATTTCTGAACGTATAACTTCAAAAATTGATATTTGGGGGTTACCAATGCACTTTTCATGGTTTAGAATGGCCATTCTCAGTGTAGTTTCTTACTTTATTCGTTGAGGAAATATTTTTCTGAACATTTTCAAGCAAAAAAGATATTTCTGTGATAATTCGCTTAAGTAAACCGATTTCGAGATATCTGAATTAGGAATTAGGAAGGAAAAAGGGATTTCTCAAAATACTTTCTTCAAGTGTACTTGTAGATTTTTATTTTTCATCTTCACCAACCTGTATCTCGGAAACGGAACAATTTCGAACTGAGGTAAGTTGCTTCAAATCGGCTTATTTTGACCTCAGGAATATGTGCTAAGATTTTGTAAAGACTTTTTAGGTCCACCCTGTTTTTCAGTTATATGCACATTCAAATTGAATTCATTTTTTATGTTCACGCCTATAGATATTTTACCACTCCTATGTACATTTCCAAAACCAGGGATTTGCGGTTTCCGCGAACGTTGGATACTTTTTTGTGAAACTCGCGATTCCGCCAATGAAATTTTCGTAACTCGCTTCGTTTTTGAGATACAGGGTGTATATTGAAAATGTTGCATTTTGGGACCCCCTCTGTATCTCATTTATCTTTCAACTCATCGAAAAAGTGAAAACTGCCTTCTACTCATTTTTTCACGAAGAATCCAGTGGCGCAGTCAGATTTTCAGAATAAGCTGTTATCATTCAGATAGAACGCAAAACTTTTGTTTGTAAATGAAACACCCTGTAGTTTTTTATATTCGGAAAATTGATGCTCTGCGCTTTCTGAAAATATATAACAGTTATCAGAAATTTCAATATTAGGTCATGATTTCTTGGATGTATGATAAATTGACATTCATCATACAGGACGTGGAAAGAAATTCTGAATTGAGAAAAACCTAATCACGAATCTGCGATTGAGGTCTATAAAAATAACAAGTCTCCATCGTTCAAGTTTGAACCCCTTGATTGGGTGAAAGTATTGGAAAGGAATATTCTCAGATATATTTATGAACACAAAAAAAAATTATATATATTTAAAGAAATACATTGAGGATTTTGTTTTCAAATTCTTATCGTGTGTGTTCAATAGATGTAATTCAATATTCGTCGTGGCATATAGCCAGGAAAGTAGTTGTTTTCTGATGAATAAACCGATAAAGAATTAATATTTTCATCTCATGGAGAATGCGAATTCTCAATGTATTTCTTTAAATATATATATAAATTTTTTTGTCTTCATAAACATATCTGAGAATATTCCTTTTCAATATTAGGTCATGAATTTAGATAATTTTCAGTTTTTCAGTAGATATTTCATTGATGGGCCTTGAATATTTAGCACTATTCATTGACTATAAAATCTGTGGACCTGATAAGAATATCGTGAGTTCCACAGAAGGAGTAGCCAACGTTCCCGGAAACCGCAAATCTCTATCTTTGAAAATTAGTAAGATATCCCGTAAGGACAGCCTGTACAATATCGAGAAAATCTTCACACCGTAAAAAAGCTGAACCACACTTTTTTCGTTTCAGATACGATCATAGCAGGCTCGCCCTGCAGGTCATGGATGTCACCTTCACCAACGTACTGGAGGGGGCGCGACAGTACTTCCAGGGGCTGCCGGCGACCGGCGCAGGCGCGGCGGTGAGCCCCGCCTACTCCGCGGAGGCGGCACCGCAAGGGGGCGGGGCGGCCGGCATGCCGCAACCCTCGTCGAACGTCTATTGGCCGCCGCGGGCCGCAGAGGCCGCCCCGCGACCGCCTAACAGAGACCACGCCCACAAGCAGGCCGCCTCCCACAATCCCGATTCTTCCAGACAACCGACGTCTGCTTCCCGTTTGGCTCAGCAATACTCGCAGAATGTCGCGCAGGATCAGAGCAGGAATCTCTATCCAGGTACCCAGAAAAAAATAGAGAAGAAAATTTCATTATAATTATTGTAGTTTCATTTATTTGGTAATAAAACTAACTTTTTACACCTCGACACGTGTTCCGCTAACTATGTTAGCATCTCCAGTAAAAGAAGGAACTAAATGCTTCATCCTAGTGGGCTACTTATATACTAGGTATATGTCCACCCAACCGTGAAGAGACCGCCAAGTTAATGTTATTCATGGTTGAGTTCACATGTTATATTACTAAACTATATAGAGGGCTAAATGGGATAGGTCTATTATCCATATTCATCACTCTATTACTATTCTTAAATATCTCTAAGCTTCCATATGCATCTAATTTTCTAACATTATCAATTTGCCCAACTTATTACCTACCATACCCTACCATATTCCAAATGTGTTCTTTGAACCTTCTTTTCATGGGACGCCTGGTTTGGCCTATATATGTTTTATCACAATCATTACAACTAATTTCGTATATTCCTGACTTCTCAAGTGTGTCTACCTTATCTTTTGGATTGCCTGATGAATTGCCTAACTTTGACCCAGACTGATAGACGCTTTCAAAACCTAAGTCTTCGAAAACCTTATGGATTGTGATTTTTCTCGGATTGTTTCCATCTGCTTGAAAAGTCGTAGAATTCCTGAGTGATAACTTGAATTTATGTCTACGTATTAATTTATCTACTATTTTGATATCATAATCATTGACGCCAGCCACTTTATGAACAACACTCCTTTCACAATCGAATATTTGTTTGCTGAAATGAAACTAGTCTATGTACTAGGAAATTTAAACTTGCTCTAATAATATAATTCTTTTCACTGCAATAATATTGCCTTTAGCATAATTCTATGATAGATTTTATCAGTCATTGTAGAAGAATTCTACTCTGATCTGAAGTAAATTCTCGCACCCCACATGCATTTTCATACCTATCCAAAATAGTGAGTCATAGTGCTAAAATTCCATACTATCTTACTAAAAATTGTGCTCGGAGCTATAATCGACGCACTGTATAGTGAAGAGTTCAATAATTATAGTGTATTTCACTTTTTTTTCTGTGTACGATTCAGAAAAATAATCATAGTGATGGTATTGAACGAGCGTTGGGTTGTTTCAGGTTCATACCAGGACCATTACCAGAATGCTTCACTGTCGAATCAACACCACCATCATCCTCAACAGCAGCAAATGCAACAGCACCACCACCAACAGCAACAGCAGCATCATCAGCAGCAGCGGCAACAACATCAACAGCAACAACATCAGCAGCAACAACAGCAGCCGCAGCACCAACAAAAACAGAACCATCAGCAGGCATCTCTTCAACCGCAAGAACAGCAATTCCAGTTCTCTCGTCCCCAAGTCAGAGAGACGACTACAAACTACCCGCAATATCAGTCACATATCTCTACAGGTTCCCCTTACCAACAATCTCAATCTCCTTATCATCAAGTTCCTTCCCCGCAACAACCTCGCGCACCATCGAGGGAGCAAATAGTACCGAGAGTACCGTCGCGAGAGCAATCCATTCCTAGAGTACCTTCAAGGGAGCAACTAGTGCCGGCAGCTTCGCCCAGAGAACAGCAGTACCAAGCTTCAGAATACCATCAAGCGCGTTCCTACTATCCCCAAACTACTCAAAGCAAGCCCGTTCCTAGCGCTCCGACGTACAAACCTTCCAATCAGCAAGCCTATCCACCGTTGTCCCAACAGAATAAGTACTATAAGCATATTTATTCGCCGCAGCAGAGTCACCAATCAGTGTACGCTGGTTCAAGACAAGAAGAACAGAGTGTAATAAGTAATGCGGCAGATCAAGGTACCAGAACAACGCATAATTTGCCTCCGATAGCAGCAATATCGAATTATCATTCCATTCGAGGTAGTAATAGAGAGCCTGCCAGGCCCGCTACTAGTACCAGTTCTCGAACAAAAGCCCCCACTTCCTATATTCCAAATACTGTACCTGTAACGAATAGCTCTATCATACAGCCAAATCCAGCAGCGGTGGTATCGAGCTACCAAGACTACAACAGATCTTACTCTTCTCAATCGTACCAGCAAACGCAAACAGCTACGGCCCAATCCTACACCAACGTTATAATGACCTCGACGAACACATCGAATTATTATAACGCCAGTCAAGGACAATCTTCCACTCGATCCTTCCAACCTTCTAGATCTCAAGCCAATACCGAAACGAGGCTTCCTATCCAAATGGACAACAACGCAAACGGCAGAGTGGCAGTAAAACGAGAATCTCCGCTGGATCTATCGGTGAAAACTGTAAGAACACCAGCCGATTCGACGCTAGGAGAAGCCGAGCACGACGGCAGGAACAAGCAGTTTTACCAAAGCATCCGACCCACTCAAACTTTATCGACGCACAACTATCCCCAGCTGGACGTGAATTCTTTTCAGCGAAATATCACGCAGAGGTCGGCCAACATGCCTACGGCGACAGCTCCCAAAGTCGAATTCAGACCCAATTTCAACGTGCCGTCCATGAACCATCAATCCAGAAGGCCGGCCGAGGAACCTAGGCGAAACGTTCTCCCTGAGAAGGCTCATTCCAGTAACAACAGACTGGTTGACAAGAACCTGCAGCACAGGTATCCAGCAGGAACCGTGCCTACTACAGCTCACGTCAACTCCTACATCCAGGCCAAGAATAATACGCCTCCAGTTAACATGAACGACATGCAAAAGAAAAGGGCAGCCGATGTACCGTTAGCTTCATTACCGAACAAAGTTCCCAAGGTCGAGGACGCCCTGTGGCATTCGATAGACTTGCAGATAGAAGAGAGGTTTTCCAGTTACAAACAACAACAAGCCAAAATGTCCAACAAGATGACGAGTCCGGCGGTGAACGGTTCGTATCCAGAACGTCCCAAAGAGCAAGCGTACTCCGGTTACCAGAAACAAAGCTACGGCAATGCGTCGCAGCATTCCGGCTACGGCCAATATCAGGCCCAAACGAATCACACTCAGACATACGTACCCACACCTACAGGCAATCAGTATCCTGGGTACTCGTTTCCTTCTCAGCAGCCTCCCAATTCGTACCATCAGTCGTCCTCGCGACCGTATTCCACTTCCTCGAACACCGTGGGCAATGTTCCGAAGAATAATATGGGCGGTGCTGTGGATAAAAGGGTGCTCAGCTTGTTGAGGAACAGCTTAGAGGTCAAGGGTCAAAAGAAACTTGAGCAGCAGAAGTCTAACGAGAATTCGACTCAGTATCCCAGACCAGACGTTCAGCACCCTTCTACTGATGTCACGGCCCCGCTGCAACCGAAACCAGGTTTCATAGGCCGGAACAACGTTTCCCCGTTCACTCCTACCAGTTTTCCCGATAACAGCAACATAGGATCTATGTACAAGGTGCATAATATGCCGAAGGCCGTCGATTCTATCAACTTTGGCATCAACAAAACCAACCAAGCTGGTGAAAAACAAACTATGGACACTGTGATAACCAATCATAATAACCACATGAGCTCCGACTATGACGGTCTGGCTGCTGCCTTTCTGGCGGCCAGGATACGAACCAAGGGCGAGTTGAAGCAAGGAGGGCCGACTACTCAGAACATCAGCACCAGCGAGAAGAGCCAGCTGGAAGACTTGATAGAAAGTCAGCTAAAGTCTCCTTTGAAACAGGACACTTCTTCGAATTATTGTAGCAGCGGTAGCACCACACTCTCGAGCAGTCCTAGCAAAGCGCACAAGGAGCGGCCCAGGAAACGACTGTTCAGCAGGAACGAAGAAGACCCCAATAATTTCACCGTACCTCCCAGAGATAAATCTGGGCTCAGGAGTTCTTCCGAGACTTCCGTGTTTGACTTTCCCGACTCCGATTCCGAATACGACACAGCCGGTAGGGAATCCCTGGAAGCTATGAGGAAAGGAAGAAAGACGTCCAAACAAAGCACGCCCGTTATGGACATGAAGGCCGAATCTCCGCAGAGACCTTCTAGTCCTGGCGACAACATATTCGCGAAACTCTGTGATAATTTTGTGGAGCAATTGAAGAGCGGTGTAGGTAAGAAAAGTACTAAGAAGAAGAAGGGTCTCGAACCGATGGTGCTTGCAAACTTGGAGACTGTTGCGAAGAAAGAACAACTAGAAAGCGCTGTTCAAATCAAAGTTGAAGTTTTGGAGGATGATGAAATCACGGATAATAAAATGGACGACTTCTTACACCTGCCGAAAAGTGAACCTGCAGAGGAAGAATCGAAACCTGATACAAAAATAGATTTGATTTCGAAAATCGAAATTGACTTGGCTAATCAAGATGATAAAACGGAAGACGATCCCATTTTCATAACCAAGAAAAAGAACGTAAGAAGGAGATTAGTATCTTCAAGTGATAGTAGTGATAATGAAAGCGAAGAAAAAGTGGAAATCAAACAAGAAACTGAATCTGAAAACAACAACCGAGTAGAAGAACAATCAAACGCAGTGACAATTGAAGCTGATGTTCCTCAAAAAATTAACGAGGTACTGCCGATCGTTCAACCTACCAGAAAACCGTCATTCGGAGATGGTTCCGACTTTTACCCGGGGTGGGAAGAAGAGGTTTGCAAATATAAAAAGTCTCTTCGTATGCCCCCTTCCCTTATACAAGTTACCAGACCTCCTCAGTTCCACAGGCTGTCGACGTCACTTCCTGACTTAGATCCTTGTCCACATTCCCCCACAATGTCAATACCCACAGACGATAAAGAGAGCAAAGAAAACAAAACCAAGCTGAAGAAAATGAAGTCTGAAATTTTAGATAGCGACAACGAATCAAACTCGAGCTTTAACGTTTTATTCGGCAAGAAAACCAATTACGATTCCGAGGGCAGCTTGTCGATAAGAAGTTTGCCGAACACAGCCAAGGAAATGTCTATCTTGGATAAACTTCTGGAGAAATGCGGCGGCAGGAAGAGAAAGAAATACAAGAGGAAAGACGATCACAGTCCTAAGGTGATCCCGAAAGCTGGCAATCCCATCGAACTGCTACCCACTCCGAGTCTAGAGCTCAAGGAAGAGAAGGGCAAAGCAACCAAGAAGCTGTCCAGCTCTCCCATCATCAAAGCCCAATCGCCGCTGCTCGGTTTCAGGAAATCCACCATAAGCAATTTCAAGGACGCCTTCATCAAAAGATCCAGCAACATTCTTGGAGTTAACGAATTCACTACAGTAGTGATGAATTCGAGGACGAGGAGGGAAACTAGGGTGCAAAAACAGAGGGCCACAATCAAGGAGGTGTTTGGGGAAGACCGACCAGCTTCCGCACCCCCTGTCACTTGCATAAACGATATCCAAATCCAGATAAAGGAAGAGGTGACTGACGAAAATTGCCCCAACAATTTGGTGGTGAAGCTAGAGAAGAGCTATGGCATCAAGAAGGAAGAAGAAATTGGCGATACGCCGTTCGAAGATGCGAAAAGCAGGAAGAAAGACGAGAGCTTGTTCAAGGCGATCGTAGAGAAGAAGATAAAGACTGAGATCGAAGAAGACTCGCTAATAGAAGACGACACTAGGAGTCTGGATAATCTAACTATAAAATCTGAGACGCTCTCGTTGGATGGTGATGATGTGAGCATATCGGGAAAGAAGAGAGGGAAGTTCGGGAAGATGAGGCGGAAGCTCAGTTCTGGTTTCGATTATATAAGGAAAAAGAAGAAAGTGAAGAAGGAGAGTTTGGAGAATGAAAGCGGGGAAAAGAAGAAAAAGAAAAACGTTGTGTCGAAGACCTTGGAGTCTGTCGATGATATCCAGAAGGAGATCAAAACTTGGGTGCTGAATAAAGGTATCGGAGAGACTCATCTTCACCGAGCAGCTAGGTCAGGATTAACGGTGAGTTAAACTATAGATATTCCAATTTTGCGTTTCCTGACGAATTTACTGTATATCTCAAGTGGAGGACTTGTGCTGGCATACTAAGAAATGAAATGTTTCCAGGATGTGACGGCTTATTGTCTGGAAAAAATGGAAAGCAATCCATCACCGAGAGACAATGCAGGGTACACACCGCTACACTGGGCTTGCTCGAAGGGTCACCTCGATATTGCCAAACTTTTACTCTTATATGGTGCTAATCCCAGTGAAAGTGCACAAGGTGGCATCAGGTAAGTTGTCTCGTTCTTTGAATAAACGAACCATCCCTCTGTAGACTATCGACTCAAAAACAACACGACGTATTTTTTTTTTTATACTATTCAGTTTATTGTTCTATTTTCGATTACTTATCTTTTTTTTTTTTCATCAATTTCCTTATTTCTCTGGTCATCTTAGGAATTATCACTATTTAAATTTAGGCGCTGGTGAAAGAACAGGCGCTGATGGAAGAACATTCGTGTGAGATGACCTTCTGGTATTATCTCTCATATTCTGAGCCAGCGAGGGGATTCTGTTTCACGATCGTCGATTGTCGTACGATACGATGATGAACTCGAAGTCGACTTCATTTCCTATTCTATTTCTCGATCGAGTCGCGATCGAATTCTATTTCGGAAATCGTCGGTTTTTCGGCGAAATCGGATGATCTTTTGATCCAATGAAACGAGCACCGATGCCATAACTCCAAAGCCATCACAAATTTGAATCTATGGTGGTTATATTGCTTTTATGAATTTCAATTTTTTCAATCCCAAGACAAAAATAAAAATAATTCTAATTGTTCGAGATGGTGTTTCAGCAGCTAATGATAGACAAAGAAATTTAGATCTAATTCGTCGACCACAAGAACTATGAAACAGAAGTAGGTATACCTACCTAATCCTTTTTCATTACCTGAAAAATGATTTATTGAGCTATTTAGATTGAACAAAAGGTTGGTTCGTCTTCTGATACAATCATTGAGACCCCACTTATTAGTGGATAGGTCAAAGTATGAAGGGAATAGGTATACAGAATCTCAAATATTGGGCATCGAGGTTTCATTCAACTATATCATAGCAAAGATGCTACCTTACGCCATTTCTCAGGAGTTCACTCGTCAAACTTCAATGAATTTACTTGGCTTAGCCTGATCAACAAGATGATCTAACCTCAAACTGGAATGAAGATGAAAAGAAACACTCGATGGTAGATAAGGATAGATTGACAAAACGCATCGACTCGACTCCTCTTGAACTATCGAGGAATCGAGTCGAGTTTATACGATTCATTCGAGAAACAGAATAGCAAATATCAAATAAAGATGCTCGATTCAACTCGATTCGTGAAATAGAATCTCCCTGCAGAACGGGCCTTTGTTTGCTGAATCAATCGAATCAGAATGTGGAATGTTTATCTTAATACAGTGGACACTCGATAATGTGAACCGAAAAAAACAACGTCCGTTGACATTATCTATTTATTCACGTTATAGAGCTTGTATTTAATATGTAAGAACTTATTGTAACCAACATAATACATATATAATAGTAATACTTATTGAAACAAACAGTAAACATTCATTTTAAGATGTATGTTTTTTTACTTCAGTGTCCTGAAGATGAAACAATAAAGTTCGAAACGTCGACAATTTAACAATTGGTTTTCTCCAACATTTCGACCGAATTCCCGCTAACTCAACACCAGAAATTATCATTATGATAATTTTCAGGCCACTCCACGAAGCTGTCGAGAACGGTTTCGTAGAAATCGCCAGACTTCTGTTGTCCTACGGCGCAGATCCCACTTTGGCCACCTACTCAGGACTGACGCCGTTGGCTTTAACGAACGACGAAGCCACCAAAGACTTCCTCAAGAACCACTTGAACGACGTCGAAGGCGAACCCAGTTCGTGTTGGTACTCGTTCGGACCGGCATCCGTATTCGGTAAGTAGACCAACAAGACACACAAACCACCTTCATTCTTCTTCTCCGTTTTTATCCTCTGCATAATTTCAATCTTCACCACCGATTTTTTATGAATTATTTCCTTAATTTCCACAATCCTTCATTTCCTTCATTCTTTTTCTGTATTTTTCTGATATTATTATCTATCATAGTTCCCTCAATTTTTCCGTATCTATCTCTTCCTGTATGCCTCTTGGTTCTCTACTCCTCCGGAGATACTCTCACATTAATTTCTCTAGTCATTTTTCTCTCATATTATTCAATTTTCTACACAGGTTCAAGTTGTAAAACACTGTAAGTGACACTTCGCCTTTCCATTTGTTTATGAATAATAGTTATTTGTTATACAAGGGGAAAAGTAGGTATATTCTTACGTGAAATTGAACGGATTTTTAACTGAATTTAACCATTATTCAATGGACAAAGCAGATAAATGATGTGACTTGCAGAAGTAACAGAGTGCCTCTCTAGAGCCAGCAATCACATAATGAAGTTACAAACTCGTATTCATCATGTCAGAAAACCTGAGACAACAGGATTCCATATTCATGGTGTTTAAAGTGTTTTAAAAGTGTTTTTAACCGCCAGCTTAGTTGCAAAGCAACCCTCGAAAGTCAGGGACTTGTGTGAGTTAAGAAGACGGGGACCTTAGCTTTTTAAGTGTCATCCGAAGCACTACTCGGCTGGTAACCGTGGACAGTCCAAAGGATTGATATCTAGGTACCAAGAATGTTGGGTTGGCCACCTATCTCCTCCCGCCCAACGAAACTACCGAAAATTAATTCAGTGCTCGCGCCGGGGATCGAACCCGGACCGCCTGGGCTACAGCCAGCGACTCTACGCTCACGGCCACTTACAGTTATTGAGAAATTTTAAAATAAAATCTTTCTCCTAAACCAGCAACATTTTTATGAGGCATGGTAGGCTAAATCTTCATATTTTGGTGTTTACTATCTGTAGTTCAGAGATTTCCCATTCTTAATGAATCACCCTGTAGTACAGGGTGTCCTACTTAAATGTGTCACCTCCCTTTATCCTCGTAATTCTCAGGAAAAGTCATTCAAAAACTTTTCTGGAATAGTTTTTCACGAACTTTTTTAATCTGTGCCCACTTTTTCTTTATATTAAAAAATACTGGGAGGCTGGAAAAAAAGTTTTTCAAATGACAATTCCACTCTTGGTCTCTAGAATCAATCACAATCGGCCATTTTCACGGTTTCTTCTGTATTATAGCGATACTTTTTTGTTTACTAAATTTCATCGGACTTGATCTACTAATACAGAAGTCGATTTGTCTCACACGTGACAAATCTTCATTTTTCAGCGATAAAATTTTGGACGTTGAAAACGTTAATTATGTTGGAAGCCCGAATGATGAATGCAGTGTGAGCAACTCTCGCGAGTCGCATGTTTATTGTCTCAATCCTGGAACAGTCATACGAATACAACTCGTGACATTATTTTTTATTGAAATATTCGTCGATTGACATACTCCAGTGTGCTGCTTTAATTTCGCACATGACATTGTTCCATGACTTATCGCCTATGGCTCGAAAGTTTTGATTAACAATGTCATTCGCCAAATTATTTGGCAATAAGCTGCCCTAACAATCGTCGAATATTTCCGGCAAAATACACTCACCGGCAAAAAAAACTGCCCTAATTGTCACCCTGTAACTTGTTTAATCCTTGTCCGATTTTAGTGAAATTCCGATCAATTTGTAGATACATGTTCCGAAATATTAGCCTAAATATTAGTATTCGTGAAAAGCTGATGACTTGATCATTATACAGGGAAAAACCGAAGTTGCTATTTCACCCTTCACTTCTTAACACCCTGTGGCGTAATTGAGTGGTTGAACTGGGCTTCAATATGCTTTGAATTGAAGTGTCATCCCTTCTCAACACAATAGTTTCTCAATCACGTCAATATCTTATTTTCAAGAGAAGATACGAGTGTTTTTAGAAAGTATGGCATATTTCAATGTTTATCAAAAATAATCAGAACCTTGATAAACCTATAGATTAACAACTTAAAGAATCAATATCACTTATTTCTACATCATTTTCTTAGCACCGAAAAATAACAAACAAACATAAAGCAGACCTGTGGTCAATGACGAGTATGCCGTCCTCAAGTTTGAATTAAAGCATTCAACCGCCGTGGCATCGGGTTGATCAACTTTCTCGAGTAGTCTTGAAGAATGCCAATAATTCTTCTTGAGGGCGAATCGTAGCTCTTGAATAGTCTATGACAAGGCCGATCGAAGGCGAATGAGCATTTGAATTATGTTAATGAGAATTAAAACAATACATTTTGTATCTTCTCTTTAAAAGAAGATATTGACGTGAATCAAGAACCATTGTGTTAAGAAGGGACGAAAAAGGATCACACTTCAATTCAAAACATAAATCAACAGGAGAATGTTCCGAATTATTATTAATAAAATTTTTAAAAAACATACTTTCTTAAAACACTTATCTTCTCTTTGAAAAGTGGTTATCGACGTTAATCAAACACCATAGTGTTAAGAAGGTATCACACTTCAATCCAAAACATAATGAAGATGAGTTTAACCACTCACCTTTGCCACAGGGCGTTAAGAAGTTAAGGGTGGAAGAGTAACTTTTGTTTTTCCCTGTATAATGATCAAGCCATCAGCTTTTCTTGGGACCTACTATTCAGGGTATGATTCTGAAACATGAGTATACGATTTAGCCAAAATTTCACAAAAATCGGACAAGAATTGAAAAAGTTACAGGGCGAACGATTTGGATAATTTTTTTAATGGCCGTTTTTTTGTGGTATCACATATGATAAAAAACTCACTTTGAATTTATTCCAACCTCGCCCTTGCAGATCCGGTCGACCAGATCGGCTTCGACCCCCTGGAAGCCGCTCCTACCCCCTCCCCTCAACCCCTCGCAGCAGAAGAAGAAGACCTCGAGTTCGAGCTGTCCGAACAGCTGCTGCCCAACCTTTACACCTTGCGCTCGGAACCGCCCACCGACCGCTGGGTCCTTCTTCAAGACCTCTCCACCATCTTGAAGATCAAATCGCGAGACGCGCTGCTCAAACAGCTGTCCGCCACGCCATCTAGCGGCAGTTCTAGCTCCTCGGGCAACGTCGCTGCCACTTCGGGGAATGTCGTTGCCAGTTCGGGGAATGTCGCTGCTGCGCGCGCGGTGATGCGCGAGCTCAAGATGTCGGACTTTTTGGAGCAGGCGCACTGTTGCCAGTTCTTGAACGCCGGCGAGAAGATCAACACGCGCGCGTCGAAGATAGCGTTGGTGAAGTACACTGAGAAGGTGAAGGAGCTGCTGAATGTGGAGAGTGTGGTGATCGAGGCCAGGTGACCGGGGTCGGATTGTTGAGACGATTGATTGGTGAATCGTAGACTCGGGTTACCGTTTTCTGAGTATACCGGGTGAAAAGGAAAGTGTTGGCCTGAGCGTCGTTCGGTTATTCTTCATGTTAGACTTCTCACGTTTGGATTAGAGATATTTCTTGAAACCATGTGCCGTCATTGATCAAATTTTCGTGCAAACTAATAATAGTATATTACACAGAGGTGGGAAGTGATTCATTCCTGGCGTGAGATTAGTTAGTTAGCTATAATTTCGAGACATGAATGAAATTTCCTACCGGGGTTTGTATACTATTTTATTTGAAACCATCATATTTTGATAAAAATGAATAATTCTCTGTTTCATTATGAACATAATATCTGAAATATTACATAATTGAGGGCGAGAGGTGTGTAATATGACACTTCCCAACCTTCAACGACGTTAGTAATGACAACATTACATAATATTGTTATAAAATGACAAAAACGAAGCACTTTGATGATTGTTTGATGGAACATGCTACTGGTACTGGTGGGGGACGTTTGCACGTCAGCAACTAGTCCCTAATGGGACCTTTTTGCAAACCCCAAGGTGTTTTCAATGACTGATGTGGTTCGCTCAAGAGAGCTGGCTAACATCCTTTTCAGGCACTGCCCATCAGCTCTCTTTCAGAGTTTTTCGGCTGTATTGTGTAGACTAGTAATGTACTCACTACCATATGCCGCAGTGGCAGGCCTGCTAGCTATCCCCGTTAACCCCCGTTAGAGACCGAGGTCCACTAAGCAGCTGGCCCGCTCTCACGCTCAGCTGGTAGTTTTCCACGCCCACCTACATGCACCGTCCTACTTCTTCTCTGATGCTCACAACCACATCATCATCTCTTTCTGCGTGTTTTGTGTAGGCTTTGTTACTAACTCCATGCGCCACTTTAGGAGCAGCACTGTTAATTGGAACGCAACAGCGAATCGTGCAGGACTATCCCCAGCCGATGCTCCGAAACTTTACAATATTTAATTCGTAAATAAAATATTGAAAAAAGTTCTTTGCTCGTACTAGGAATCGAACCCACGACCTTGCGGTGCGCCAATCCCGGCTCCTGGAACATGCTAACTCATATGTGAACTTTTCGATTCATCTGGATTCCTTTCAGTTATTGTCTCTCATGACATTTTTTTTATGAAACTTTTTCAAATTGATATTGAAGTATGAGTCAGTATCGACATATATTTGCTTGACACACCTAAATAACTTCATCTGCATAATAAATATTTTTTTCAAAAACATATTGAAAACAAGAGTCATAGTGTATCAAGAATTTATCTGCAGATACTGACTTATATTTCAATATCAATTTAAAGAAGTTCAATTTGCTATATAAAATTCTGAAGAAAATCTAAGAGGAATGAAGTAATTTGAATGAATTTCTAGTAATCCTGATTGGCCATGTATCAACATCTATGTTTCATCGAAACTGGTTAGACATTCGTTCGTTTATCTGCTATTTCATTAAATTGCTTGTAGGAAATTCAATCAATAACGGCACAGTGTCGCCATATTGATTTTAGAAAAAAGGTCTCCTGAGCCGCCATTTTGAAAACAAATGTGCACTTGTGACATGTCTTCCAATGGTGAATTTTTTGCTTTATCCAAATAAAGTGAGAATATCTACAGGGTTCTATCGAAAATTCTCGACTTAGGTCGTCTATTTCCGGTAAAACCGGATGTGTTGATAAATTTTCTTTATGAACAATATGGGTTTCAGGGAACTTTTTCTCCGATCCAAATGTCGAAAAATCCAACATGGAAAACAACTGAATGACGCACTCGCCAATGATAATTTTTTCACCCCGTAGTTTCGTGATATTATCTTTTCAATGTGATTCAGGTTTGCAATTTTTGTTGGAGATGGGACATTGACATTTTTGTTGCAAGAATTTATGTGGATTGTTTTTTGAGTTTCTTTGCTTCCATACACAGTGATATTTTTTATGTGTTGTTATAGTATATTATACTAGGTGTCCCAAGTTATCGTATACAGGCAATATCTCGCTTATTTGACAAGATACATGAAAAATTCAAAACCTGCATTGATTGGCATTGGAGTACCTTCCTAATGACATATGGAAAAATCTATTACATTTCACAGCTCTCTAGCAGCTATCCCCCACTTTTTATTATCAAATCGCACCCCCTGTGAATTGCCATTGAAAATTGCGTGTTATTATAACAAGAAAAGCAGCAACTTTTAATGTATGAATTTCAACTAAAATATCTCTCATTAGAATCAAAAATTGAACTCAATATCACAGCAACTCTTCAAAACTATTTTGACATGAGTAACATCGGCTTTTTGAAGCAAAGAACATGAGCGGAGGCAATTTTTCATTTTCATAAGAAGAAACTTGAACCAAGTCACAAAATGTTGATATTCTTGTCATCAATAACAAATACCAAGTATTGTATACAGGGTGTCCCTAGACCAGTGGGACAGTTGAATATCTCCTGAACCAATAGGAATTTTCAGAATATTATAATTTCACATCATATCGCATTATGAGTGCTAACTTCAGGAATGACTATATTTTCTACGAGGGGCGCAAGAAAGGCTCACAAAAGCGAACATCAATTTTTTCCAATGGTACACCCTGTATTTCATTACATTTTCAACAACACTTGGGGTCTAGTGGGAATGATTTCCGAGATCAAGGGTGTGGAAAATCGAGATTTTTCATTTTTGGGAATTTTTTGTGTCAAAACTATTCATTATTGGTCAAAACGGCTTACATGTCCATGTCTTAAATTTTGATTTACTATTCACTCGTATTTAATTGAAACAAATACAGGGTGGTGTAGAATTCTCAGTTTCAGTCAGAATTCTACACCACCCGGTATTTGTTTCAATTAAATACGAGTAAATAGTAAATCAAAAGTTAAGACATGGACATGTGAGCCGTTCTGACCAATAATGAATAGTTTTGACACAAAAAATTCCCAAAAATGAAAAATCTCGATTTTCCACACCCTTTATCTCGGAAATCATTCCCACTAGACCCCAAGTGTGCTAGGTCGTTGAATTCAGCTCTTCAAGGAGAATATGAAAATGCAATGAAATACAGGGTGTACCATTTGAAAAAATTGATGTTCGCTTTTGTGAGCCTTTCTTGCGCCCCTCGTAGAAAATATAGTCATTCCTGAAGTTAGCACTCATAATGCGATATGATGTGAAATTATAATATTCTGAAAATTCCTATTGGTTCAGGAGATATTCAACTGTCCCACTGGTCTAGGGACACCCTGTATATTCCAAATTGAATGACATGTAATTTCCAATGACAATTTACAGGGGGTGCCATTTGAAAATAAAGTCTGGGGAAGCTGCCAAAGAACTGTACAATGCAATAGATTTTTGTATTTCATTAGGGAAGGTACTTCAATGTTATTCAATGCAGTTTTTGAATTTTTCAAATATCTTGTCAAATAAGCGAGATATTGCCTGTATACGATAACTTGGGACACCCGGTATATACCAGTACACGTGGCGAATGTGCTAAGGACCTTCATTCGAGCAAAATACAAATTGGAACTTTCTCATTTTAACTGACACCTTGTATATTTTTTCTGTTTTCAAATTTTTTCCAAATATACAGGGAAACGTCACTTCCAATTCAAGTTCATAATATTGCAGTAGGCTACGAAATTTTGTGTTACCTTGATTTTTGTGACCTGATGCGATTCTCTTGATTTGAAATTTTAACTGACATTTTATCATTGAATACAAAGTGTTATAATAAATAATATATTATTGGAAAGGTTTTTTTGAGTAGAACTCTCAAACTGAGAAAAATATACAGGATGTCACTTTTCAATAAGAATATCAGTGTAAATCTGAAAACATAGTATCAAATGGAATATTTTCAAATGTCTCCAAGCTACATTTCTTTTTTTGTACAAAATTCTTATGAGCCCAATAGGCTATTGGATTCATGTATATTTTCTTTCATGTTTTTGTTTAGTATTTTTGAAAGTTTATTTATTTTAGATTGTATAAAATAAGTTACCAGCTTTTTTAGACAATTTTACAAAAGAACTGTAGGCTTTAATATAACGAAGTAAATTTTTATGTTGTGGAAGTGCAATCGTGAATGTGTGAGAATTATACAGGGTGATACTGAATGGAAGATATTTGGGAATGATTTGACATATGATTAAGATTATTTGGTATTTGTGCAAGTATTTAGCAAATACTAGAATTGTAGCAAACATTTTTTTGGCTTGGCAACACCAAACTTTCATTTTTTACTTTCCTAAAAGATATTTCAAAATCCTAATATTTATATTTCGGAATTTTTATTTTAATTTGGAAGAAAAAAAAAAAAGAATATTTGATCTCCAGACATGTTTTTATCAATCATCAATGATATTTCAATATTATGAAGTCTTAATTTCAGTCTATCAGGAAAAAATGAGCATGTTTTTCACATTTCTCTAAAATTTCCATTAATGAAAATAAGAGTTTTTTCAATTAATTTCACGGCGTTAAAATATTTCACTATTAAAAACCTTCCAGATAAATTCTTCACTTTTAGTCAGTGACAGCTTGTTTGTAAAAGTTTGAAAAAGTTTTGGAAAGGGAAAGTATAGGTAAAATGAAAAATATCAAAATTTTCACTTATCTTTGCATTGTTGCTTCCATTTTCAACCTAAAAACAGAAATGAGGAAGCAAAGATGAGTAAAAATTTGAATATTTTTCAAAATCATTGCTCCTCTTCATTTTCAAACAATTTATCATTCACTATTAGTGAGAAAAACCTCAAGGTAAAATATTCATTTCACTAGATTTGTTGAGTTTCTCTGTCCTCGTCTACAGGGTGTCCAGAGATAAAACTGACAAAACCTATGGAGTTATAGGAACTGCCAATATGATTGCAAAATGCCATTTGCAAATGTCCAACACCTCCTCATAACAAACATACAGAGTGATTAATGGATTTTGACATAAAATTCAATCCGTCATATTGAATACAGGGATTACCCGATTCGGTTCAAATTTGGTACATGAATTGAACTCAAAGACCTAAACAAGTAGCTCTTTGAACGAAACCAATAACAGGACCGGAATATTATTTTTTTTCTTATATTGAGTTATTGTGAGAATAACTCACCCTGTATAATAATTATAAGAAATCTGAGGTCATATTATGAATTTTCGGGGAAAATACTATAGGAACTTGTTGAGAAAGTTTCTGGCAAGATATCGGTCATTCCGTAATGAATTATTATTAAAATTCTTTCCTTAATGCCGGATAAAATAGCAAAAAATGAATATACAATGAATATTTACGAAACCAAAACATAATTGTTGTTATTTTCTTTGATAACTACGTAGATAAATTTTATAATTTACTCTCGTGACCTAAAAAAACTGAAGAATACATTCGTATCAGGACCGTAATGACTCTTTTTCATGTTTTTCTAAGTATAAGGTGTCCTTAAAAGGTCCGTACAACATCTTTTTCAACAAGTTCCTATAGTATTTTTCCCGTAGATTCATAATATGACTTCAGATTTTTGGTAATTACTATACAGGGCGAGTTATTCTCACAATAACTCAACATATGAAAGAAATAATATTCCGGTCCTGTTATTGGTTTCGATCTAATGGCTACTTGTTGAAGCCTTTGAGTTCAATTCATGTACCAAATTTGAACCCAATCGGGTAATCCCTGTATTTAATATGGCAGATTGAATTCTATGTCAAAACCCATAAATCACTCTGTATGTCAGTAATGAAGCGGTTTTGGACATTTGTGTATGGCATTTGGCAATCATATTGACAGTCCCTATAACCCTATAAGTTTTGTCTCTGGACACCCTGTATGAATATAAATATAAATTATTTCGATATATTATGTATATAGAAATGAGAAATAGGATGATTGGCCCCAAAATTTCACTGTTACTGCATATACCGGGTGTCAACGAATCTATTAGACAAGTCATAACTTCTAGACCATTAGGTGTATCAAAATGAGATTTGGTATAGGTAAATGGTATGTGTAGAGGAGAGTTTTCACATATTTTTCACTCTCCGGTCACTTCCGGTTTCACCGGAAATGGCTCCAGTTCTAAATTTTTAAATGGAACACCCTGTATATTGTAACATTTTCGGATTTCTGAGACAATTCTAGATCAGATTGTGACATTTTCGGATATGTCTATTTAATTTTTTCGGAGTCACTTTTGAAATTACATCTAGGTGGCCATGATCGGAAGTAAACTAATCTAAGGACCTCAGGTGATATCAGAAAATTACAATCGCGAAGTTTTAGTGACAAGTATGATAGATATGAATAAGACAAGTTGGCAAAATTACGTTTTCGTGTCTAACTATTATTTTTCAAATGGCGACCATTTTTTGACAAGCACTTTCCGAAAAAAGGATATTTTGACTAATCTAACGATACTAATTTATTGCGATTGGATTATAAATAAGAATGAAATAAATTAAATATTACTGACGAAAATACTTCATATTAATTCATTTACTTTTGTCAAGTGTGCCATGGATGATAATTCATTTACTTGTAAGCACTTCCCGAAAAAAGGATATTTTGACGAAACGATACTAATTTATTTGCGATCGGATCAACAAACTTAACAAAATTAACAATAACTTCAGCGATGCACTTACATTTTTTTCAATTTCCTAATTTCTTAAAGTTTTCACTATAAATTTTCAAAGTGCATTCCTCCTTGTTCAAGACACATATTTAATATTTAATTTATGTCCTTATTTGTAATCCAATCGCAAATAAATGAGTATCGTTAGATTCGTCAAAATATCCTTTTTTCGGGAAGTGCTTGTCAAAAAATGGTCGCCATTTGAAAAGTAATAGTTTGACAAGAAAATGTAATTTCGCCAACTTGTCTTATTCATACTTGTCACTAAAACTTCGCGATTGTGATTTTCTGATATCACCCGAGGTCCTTAGATTAGTTTACTTCCGATTATGGCCACCTAGATGTAATTTCAAAAGTGACCCCGAAAAAATAAAGTAGGCATAAAAACTTTCGAAAATGTCACATTATGATCTAGAATTGTCTCCAAAATCCAAAAATGTTATAATATACAGGGTGTTCCATTTAAAAATTTAGAACCAGAGCCATTTCCGGTGAAACCGGAAGTGACCGGAAAATGAAAAATATGTCAAAACCCTCCTCTTCACATACCATTTACCTATACCAAATCTCATTTTGATACACCTAATGGTCTAGAAGGTATGACTTGTCTAATAGATTCGTTGACACCCGGTATATTGAACTAATACTCAAATTTTTGTTCATAGAAACTAGGAGAGAAACATGATTAGAAAGTTGCAATGGCCTCACAAAGATTTCGGTAAAATCTTGAATATTTGCTAGATACACAAAGGACCTCGCACGAAAACACGGTAAATTGGCTTTCGGTCGAATTGGCTGAAATTTAACTATGTTATTGTGGGATGACTCATTAGAGAAATATGTGAGTTTGAAAAGTTTTGTATGTTTAGTTTCTGAGATATAAGCCTACAAAGTTCGTAAAAACGTCGTATCGGGGTAGGATTGACGAAGAAAATAACTGTTTTTTAGTATAAATAAGACAAAAAAAGCTATAAAATGTATTGATCGGAACTCAAATACATGTCTAGTTTTGACCACATGGATTGTAGTAAATCAGGGTGTATACGAGGCACGGTCAAAAAATTCATTTTTCGGAAAAAAAAAATTCGAGCACTATTCCAAAACCAACAAGTTATATTTTGGTGAGACATTATAGTTTTAGTCTATTGTAGGCTTCGAAAACGTATTTTGATTCTTGATAACTATCTCTGTTCGATGAATTCTTTGAATTTTGTGTTATACCCCTTTTTGAAAACAATTGAAAGCTTGTTTTTGATCACAAAGAAAGGGATTGATTGATACCGTTGATTGAATGAAAGCTGAGGAAACTCACTAACGAATTCAGTTGTTCAATATTGCCTTTCATTTAGATACAGGGTGTGTAAGATTTTGTTGAAGATTATTTAACATGTTTCAATTGAATATCTCGAAAACAGTTCCGTTAATTTGGATCTCATTTTACATACATTATTTTGAATATGTTGACCATCATATGCGAAAAGTTTTTCAATTTTTTATGTCTCGTTTCTGAGATATCAATTTTTGATAGTGATATCCGAGGTAATAACACTATAATACCTGTAATAATGTAGTCTCAAAAATGCATATCTCAGAAACGAAACATAAAATATTGAAAAACTTTTTGCATATGGTAGTCAACATTTCGAAAATAGTGTGTGTAAAATGAGATCCAAATTAACGGAACTGTTTTCGAGATATTCAATTGAAACATGTTAAATAATCTTCAACAAAATCTAACACACCCTGTATCTAAATGAAAGGCAATATTGAACATCTGAATTCGCTAGTGAGTTTCCTCAGCTTTCATTCAATCAACAGTATCAATCAATCCCTCCCTTTGTGATCAAAAACAAGCTGTCAATTGTTTTCAAAAAGGGGTATAACACAAAATTCTAAAAACTCATATTTCGAACAGAGATAGTTATCAAGAATCAAAATTCATTTTCGAAGCCTACAATAGACTAAAACTATAATGTCCTACCCAAATATAACTAATATCTTCCCTTCTTTGGCTCGAATTTTTTACCCGAAAAATGAATTTTTTGACCGTGCCTCGTATACACCCTGATTTACTATAACTCATGTGATTATAACTAGACATGTCTATGAGTTCCGATCAATACATTTTCTAGCTTATTTTGTTTCATTTATACTAAAAAACAGTTTTTTCCTTGTCAATCCTACCCCGATACGACGTTTTTAAGAACTTTGTCGGCTTATATCTCAGAAACTAAACATACAAAACTTATTAAAGTCACATGTTGTTTTAATGAGCCATCCCACAACAACATAGTCAAATTTCAGCAAATTCGACCGAGAGCCAATTTCCCGTGTTTTCGTGCGGGGTCCTTTTTCTTATTTCATGGTTTTCATCTATATCACCCCGTGAATAATTATAAGTTGTTTCAAACTAAAATCAAATGATACTCAAATGAGTAGGTATTGTAAGATAATTGTTATCAAAACGCTCAGGGACCGTACTCTTTTTTCGAGTAATGTACTAATAATTTGTATAGTAATATTTCGCTCGTTTCGAGTATTCAAAATGACAAAAAAATACTTGTAAATATATTCCTACTAAAGGTATTTTCCAAGGCTGAAGAGCCCCTTTTTCTATATGATAGATAATGAATGTGAATTAGATGGTGGGTCGCGATAAGAAAAAAGTTTTCCGTGAATGAAAATTCCTTCAAAATAACGATAAATCTTCAGAAGGTTCCGAATCAATCACGAACCAGTTTTTGATTTTTTCGATCCGCCCTGTATATGTGTTTTTCTTAATGTAGAGCATCAATTCGTTCTGCTTTGTATAATCTTTGGGTAATTTGTACAGTCGATGAGAAAAAAAAAGTTATCTGTGATGCGCATCTGGAGGCAAAGTGCAATGCTTTTTGCAAACGAAATTGTGATTTTGCCAACATGTCCTATATGTGTGAATTAGAGAATATTTTTTAATTTATGAAATCTTTTTTTCACATTTTTTAATGTTTTTGTTCTTCGAAATATGTGAAATATACTACTAAATATTACACACGATTTTTTTCATTTCCCCCCATCAGTCTACAGGGTGTTTCAAATTCGAATTTACAGGGTGTCCCAAATTCGAGGGGTATCATTAGGATCTCGGTAACCATAACAGATACAAAGTCGGTTGAATTAAGGCAAAGTTACGCAATGTGATGCTGATCAAAATGCAGCCACAAAAGTTTGGAAATTCCGAATACTTCCGAAGATATTGTGAAAAAACCGACTGTCTGCGATTCCGTTTTTATTGTTTTCTCACTTCATTTGAAGTGATGTGACAAAATAAGTTTCATATTATCTTTGCCACTTTTTCTGCTCTATTCAATGGTATTAATAGATTTGTGATCCGACGTTTCGTCTTCGAGGAGCCATCATCAACTTTACTTTTTTGATACGAAAAAAAAAAAAATCAATTCCAAATTTGAATTCAATGACATACATTTCACAATTATCCAACGTTTCAAACCGAAAAATCATCATCAGTATTATTCGATGATTGCTAACGAGGAAACGAAGGCATCTTGTAGAAAAAAAGGCTGCAAAAGTGTATTATAATTCTGGTCTCGTTTAGTGAAATAAAAAAAAAAAAATTCTTAGAATTAGAAACTTCGAGAATAACTTTCAGCCATTTTTCCTTCTTTGTCGTTGCCGTCTTGAGACCGACATTTCGTTTTCTTGTAACCATTATCAAATAGAACTGATGATGATTTCTAGACTTGAAACGTTAGATAAATTCAAAGTGCAATATGTCCTTGGATTTAAAATTGAATTTAGAGTGTTTTAGGTGCAAAACATGTTTTCCTGACCATCTGAAAAAACAAAGTTGATGATGGCTCCTTGAAGATGAAACGTTGGATCACAAATCTATTGATACCATTGGATAGAGCGGAAAAAGTGGCAATGATAATGTGAAACTCATTTCGTCATATCACTTCAAATGAAGTGCGATAAAAATTGAAACGGAATCGCGGATATTCGGTATTATCCCAATATCTTCGGAAGTTTTCGGAATTTCCAAACTCTTGAGACGACATTTTAATCAGCATGAAATAGCACAACTTTGCCCTGATTTAAGAGACTTTGTATCTGTTATGGTTACAGATATCCCAATGATACACCTCGAATTTGGGACACCCTGTACACACGATAACTGACGATTGAGGATTCCAAATCACCTCCTCCTGGAGCGCACGAAGAGGAATCCCTATTATGTATGCATTTTTTTCAACTTTTCAAGGTTGAAAGTTCTTGGAAATTCTTTGTTAGGCAAAAATTTGTGATATAGAGTGGTTCGACTTATCTGGACTTATTTCGTAGTTGACGACGAAAGAATATGCTGACTGAACTTGTCAAATACATATATTTCTGAAGAACATTTCTCATGGGAGTTTTTATGAAAAAGTGATAAGTAAAAAGAAAGCCATCAACATTGAGCTCATCAAATATCTGGAAAGCTCAGAAATCATTAAATAATGTTTCTTCTGTGACGGGAAAAAAGTTTGGCATTTCATCTCTGTTGGCAGGTTATAAAATGTCACTTTTCGTAAACTACTTTTTTTCCGTGGGCAAAAAGTGAGTACTCTTTTCCCGGGTATATATCACATATACATACACTGTTGAAGGCTCTTGTTGTGCTATAGTTCCGAAAAATGAGTCGATAATACCGTCTCCGAGAAAGAACTGCAAGTCCTTTTATCTTCCATTCGACTTTGCGGTTACGTATATTACTAAACATCCACTAAATGCGCAATTTTTTGAGATCAAATCACAGAATTAGACTGACAGAAGTGACATCAGATATTTGATTACTTCAAAAGAATGATAAAGATGCCTACAACGCAGGTGTCCCTACTGTTAAAAACTCAAAATTTCCCGTCGATAATTTTCAGATTTCAAAATAATGTAATATCTTCTCAATATTGATTCGTCCTTTATTCTGCCACCGAAAAAAATAGTGTATTATACACGGGAAAAATATTAGATTTTAGCTTACGGTTTTTTGTCTCCCTCTACGCGTCGGGAGACAACACAACCTGGAGCTAAAATCTACTTTTTACCCTTGTATAATAAAGAACTATTATTTCTCGTGACTCTGATTTTGGAATTTAAACATAATTGGCCCAAAATTGAACTACAATCTATCTTGGAGTTAATCAGCTTGTGAAGAAAAATTGAATAACTTATAGACCTAACGTGAGCTGAGTTTCAGGATTTTATAATGTCGAAGACTAGCTTCGTAACCATGGAAGTTTAGATGCCTGTTAAATCTATAATTCCAGTGAAAAATTAATTTTCTTTTGATACTCTCAATTCGTTGAATGTACCTACTTCTGATACGAAGGATTCCATATCAAACTCGCAAATTCAAGATGACTTCTTACCAGTGAGTTGTAGAGGGTGATAATAGATGATGAGGTTTTGAAGCCTCTGGTTATTCGTAATATAAAGCCCAGATTTCTCAGATACTTTTTTGCAATTGGTTCAATGTGCTGCCCAAAATTCAATTTGGAATCAATGATGACTCCAAGATCACGAATATGATCAACACTTTCGAGGGTGTCATTATTAATATTATATACGTATTCTGTATTGGTTCGTAACCTGGAAAATGATATTTTGTGACACTTTCTGTAGATGTAATTTATGGCCAGAGCAGAAGTTTTGAAATCTGTGAATATCAGATTGGAAGTCGATGCAGTCGTTTATATTACTGATTGTTTTGTAGATTTTCATGTCATCAGCATACTGGGAAAAATTTGAGTACCTACTGAAAACAGTTGCCAATATCGTTTATAAAGAGAGTAAACAGAAGTGGCCCCAAGTGTGATCCATGTGGTACACCGGAGGTCACCTGTATAGTTTGATGAATAGTTATTGAACACCGATATTCCCCAACTTTACCAGCAGTGTAGGATGGTGAACTTTGTCGAATGCTTTAGAAAAGTATTATATCAGAATAGTATATAATGTTGATAAATATTAAAACATCACTGAAGCACAGTGCTCGTGAGTGATAATTTTATTGATCCTATAGTAAAAGATTCTGAATGGAGGCATCGTTGATAGACCCAATTTCAACACTCAAACACATTTTTATTCACTCAGGACGGCTTGTACATACAAAGATGACCGTTTATAAAAATACATCATCGACAAGTGATTCGTTCTACGATATTAATTGACTGAACTTGCTTCAGTCTTTTATCACACGATGATTACGAATACCGATGAGTCGTCAAGGCCCCTTGTGATAAGGCATTCCTTAGGCGTTCTTCTCATTTACGGGGTGATTTGAACACAGTCGCTAACTCTAGTTTTCTTTCAAAATTATGAATATAAAATAAAATGATAACATACATACATACATAAATATAACACTTTTCAGAGAAATAGGCTGAAATCAGGCAATGTTATTTTCAGGTTAAATGGGTCATAATCAGGTATGTAGGTCATAATCAGGTAATGGCGTCATTTAAAGTAATCTTTTAAAAAGGAATATTCTCAGATGGATTATGAACATACAAAAATGGATATATATTTATATAAAGCAATACATTGAGAATTCGCATTCTCTATGTGATGAGAATATTTACTCTTTTTCAGTTAATTCAATAGAAAACAACTACTTTCCTGGCTATATGCCACGACGAACATTGAATTATATCTATTGAACACACACGATAAGAGTTTGAAAATAAAATATAAAAATTTCTGAAATTGAGAATTTGCATTCTCCTTCAGACAAAAATATGTATATATACACATCATTCTGAATATTCAACAGAAAACAACTACTTTCCTGGCTATTTGCCACGTCGAACATTGAATTATATCTGATGAATATTCAAAAGGGGAACATGAAAAATAAAGAATAAAATCCTCCGAAATTGAGAATTGACATTCTTCTTGAAATCGGATGAATAATATGATGAATAATGATCTAGAAATATGACTTACCAATATATTCAGCATTGAAATGAAAATTGGAATGTATAGGAGAAGTATACTTGCATGAACTCTGATCTTGATGAGCTTGGAAACGTCCAAAAAATAATCATTCATATCAGTGATATGAGAAATTTTATCACTCACACACAGGTTATATGACTTTATTGCAATGAACCCATTTCGGATCTCTGAATCCTCATCAGTAACCATGATGTCCACTTATTCTTACAGCCATTCTTCATGATATACACAATTTTCATCTCTATATAATACAACTAGAATCGAGTAAAAACTATAACGAAATGACATCTGAGAAATTCGTTGACATTCTATTCCTGTCATTTGGACGTTTTTGCTTTTGGGTGTATGATAAATTGACATTCATCATACAGGGCGTGGAAATGAATTCTGAATTGAGACTCTATCACGAATCTGCGATTAGAGGTCTATAAAAATCACAAGTTTCCATCGTTCAAGTTTGAACCCCCTGATTGAATATGAAAGTTTTAAAAAGGAATATTCTCAGATGGATTATGAAGAATGGCTGTAAGAATAAGTGGACATCATGGTTACTGATGAGGATTCAGAGATCCGAAATGGGTTCATTGCAATAAAGTCATATAACCTGTGTGTGAGTGATAAAATTTCTCATATCACTGATATGAATGATTATTTTTTGGACGTTTCCAAGCTCATCAAGATCAGAGTTCATGCAAGTATACTTCTCCTATACATTCCAATTTTCATTTCAATGCTGAATATATTGGTAAGTCATATTTCTAGATCATTATTCATCATATTATTCATCCGATTTCAAGAAGAATGTCAATTCTCAATTTCGGAGGATTTTATTCTTTATTTTTCATGTTCCCCTTTTGAATATTCATCAGATATAATTCAATGTTCGACGTGGCAAATAGCCAGGAAAGTAGTTGTTTTCTGTTGAATATTCAGAATGATGTGTATATATACATATTTTTGTCTGAAGGAGAATGCAAATTCTCAATTTCAGAAATTTTTATATTTTATTTTCAAACTCTTATCGTGTGTGTTCAATAGATATAATTCAATGTTCGTCGTGGCATATAGCCAGGAAAGTAGTTGTTTTCTATTGAATTAACTGAAAAAGAGTAAATATTCTCATCACATAGAGAATGCGAATTCTCAATGTATTGCTTTATATAAATATATATCCATTTTTGTATGTTCATAATCCATCTGAGAATATTCCTTTTTAAAACTTTCATACCCAATCAGGGGGTTCAAACTTGAACGATGGAAACTTGTGATTTTTATAGACCTCTAATCGCAGATTCGTGATAGAGTCTCAATTCAGAATTCATTTCCACGCCCTGTATGATGAATGTCAATTTATCATACACCCAAAAGCTTAAAGTAATCTGTTGAAATATTTCCTTATTAATTATATTATATTGAGATCAGGAAGTCAATGTCAGTTTTTCATGTTTTAAGAATTATTTGTGATACTTCAAATCGATCAGTTCATTTATAATTCGCCTATCTGTTTCATGAACCCAATTTTTTATTCGTATTTTATAGTAGTGGAGCGTGGATTGTGGCAGTAAATTAAATTGAATAAATTAAATATTCGTGGTGCCAAAAATATACAACATCTTTGACCGATTGTCTCTGAATGAATTTATTCTAACGCCAACCAAGTATATTGCATAGTGTATATATATGTATTAATATTAAGAAAGAGGAAAGATTCGTTTGTTTGTTTGATTGTTTGTCAGTTTGTTTATTTGCATTGAATAGGCTCCGAAACTACTGAACCAATTAGAAAAATTATGTTACCATTACAAGCCAACATTATCCCTGATGAACAAAGACAAATTTTTACCGGGATGAAATGCTTCATTCCTACTCCTTACTTATCTTGTTCACAACTTCTAGAAAACGGCTGAACCGACTGGGTTGAAATTTTATATGGGTAATACAATCGGACGCAGTAGGTAGCGCTGCTAACGGTACGTCAAATATTAAACGGCTTGACCGATTGGGTTGAAATTTTTAATATGTGAAACAACGAAAAAAAATACAAAAGATACTGAGAGAATGAAAATAGGTGTAAGTGAGTATATAGTAGTAGCTGTAGGTCAGCACAAAAAAATTAAAAAATAATAATAAAAAAGTATGTATAGGTACTTGTATGACGTATGTATGTTGATACGCGCATAGCTCAGAACGACTGCAACAATTTCTTTCAAATAGGTTATATTTCAATGAAAATTAAAAAAAGTCCAGCTACCAGTTTACTTTCTTAGGTATACTTGATAATGAGTCTGTTATGTCGGAAAGGAAGAATTACTCAAAATGCAATATCAAAAAGCTACCTCCGATCGTTTTTCAAAAAGTATGTTGTACAAGTTCGAAGATTTGTGATCAAGTTGATCTGAATTCTTGTGGTCCTGATGATTACAGATCAGTGTGGAAATGTGGTGGTGGACATATTGTGGCTAGTTACAAATATGAATACATATGTGGAATTTTTTCAGCTATACTCTCGATTTACACCAAACCAAGAAACTTTTAATGAACTCTGAAAAAATCCAGAAAATCTGTTAATTTAAATTATTGATTCTTGTAATGAGAGATATCAGTGTGAAAATGTGAAATAATTCAAATAATTGATACACGAGCTTTGAATCATTACATAAATACTTATTCATAGTTTCTCTTTCCAGTATTTTTATGTGAAGGTAACACCACAAATTCAATATATGATGTCAGCGACATCTACAGTTAGGTAGCCGAACCCAATACTCCGAAAACATAGGTTTCTTCTATGAACTGACGCAACGGAGGTCAATAATCCCATCTCGCAAATCTCCGCAGTAAAGTCCAGCTCTGGGAACTGATTTCACATAAATATTGACTCTCTACAGAGTTGCCGTCCTGATAGCAAATGTGCAAGATACACGAAAAACACAAATCGACCTCGATTTTCAATATCGATCTAAATTTCCTTTTACATGTAGTAGTTCAAAGTACCCCACCGACGTATTGTATATGTGGTTCTATGAATGGTATCAAAACCTCTAAAACCATTACTTTTGGCATGTGATAGATTTTCCAAAATTAAGCAACTCCACATACAGTGTCATTCATAAAGTCGGCATCATATGGGAAAAACTTTTATCAATAACTTATTCTGAAATTTGACTTGGGCAATAAGTTTTGCTTCAAAAGAAATAAAAAATGGACTACTCGATCGGGGTCACGTGAATTTTGCTACATGTCAAAAGTTACATTTTTTTCAAATACATCGCTGAAAATGGGCTTATTTGTTTAAATATCGAAAAAGTTTACTTGAAAAAGTTGTGTATGTTTCAATTTTACACATGTGCCTCGAATTTGAACTTCTATTGCAACATTCAGATTTCGATATTTTTTTGAATTTTTCGAAATTTCTGTAATATTTGGAGAATTGTTAATTCCACAAAACTACTTCATACCAGTAGCTTTTCCATGCTATTACTAATTATTACTAATTATGGACAGAAATATGATTTTCCTCAGACCATGATAATTCCAGCTTAAAAATTCTGATATGTTAGATGCAAAGTTAATGTCACGTCAAGCATTTACAAGCGAAATCCATTCAAATGGACTTTGGCAACAATTTAAATGAATTACGCTTCTAAATGCTTGACGATTCATCAACTTTGTATCAAACATAACAGAATTTTCAAGCGGAGACTATCATTTTCTGAAGAAAATTATATTTTTGTCGACAATTAGTGGTAATTACTGATTGAAAGTTAGTAGCATGATGAAGCTACTGGTATAAAGTAGTTTTGTGGAATAAACAATTCTTCAAATATTCCAATTCGATACAAGTGTGAAATTGAAATATAAACAACTTTCAAGTGAACTCTCTCGATATTCAAACAAATAAGCCCAATTTCAGCGATTAATTTGAAAAAATTTAACTTTTGACATGTAGCGAAAGTCACGTGACACCGATCGAGTAGGCCAATTTTCATCTTTTTTGAAGCAAAACTCATCGCTTGAGTCAAATTTCAGAATTAGTTATTAATAAAAGTTTTTTCCATATGATGAAGACTTTATGAATAACACTGTATAGCAAGACATCAGATAAATAGAACAAAACTATTGAGACAGTTATAGACCTTATCTCTTATATATTCCCTGAAAATCCGATTCTCAACAGCTTTATCGATATCGTGTTAACCCCGAAACTCTAAGAGAAAAATGACATGGCCCCCATAATAATATAGCTAAAACCTACGATATTGAAAATTTTTAAGAGGAATCATCAACTTGGCTGTGAATTTCCCGCCTACATCTCAGACCATTGACATTTTTTTATCTCTCACCACTTCTACTATCAAAAGTTTTTTTAGTACACTGCGAAGGGTATAAAAACATGGAGACCGAAAAATCAAAGCTGACAGGAATATGTCTTTCGAGTATCCACAGAGAGATTGCATTGCAGGGAATGAAAAATGAAGAATTTCAATCATTATCTTCAGCAAACATTATAAAAGAAGACTGCAATATTCATTTATCGGGCACTGTTTTTGTCCAGCATCATTGTTCTTAATCAACTATGTTTTTTATGGTTTATATTGTTAAGTAGGAGGATTTTCAGAACTTAACAAATATATGTATACCTTATTTTCTCCATTCAAATTGACTTACGAAGAAAATACTCATTTTTCTATCATCTTGTAATCCATAAGTATGGTGTTGAATTTTGGTGAAATACTTACTTTTAAGGCATATCAGGAATTTATTATAATGTTTGTAATAATGTATTGTACCCCATAAGATTTGTAGCATCTTAACAAACATGCCAAATTGTTAGTTTTTAGAAAAACTTACTGTTCTTGACTGTATGTTATGTTGATAAAACATTCATTGAAAAACATTCATTATACGTTCATAAGAAACTTTCTTCTTAGAATGGACCCAAGAATCGCGTACTCGAATATTGACATTCAGTTATGAAACACCCTGTATATCCATTTTTTATGTTCATAATTTTATTTGAGAATATTCCTTTTCAATAATTAAATACCATAAAAACTACTTACCTACCTACCTACGCGATATATTTTCATGTATGAACGAACCTAACAAAAAAATTTAAAAATAATTCTGAAAATATAACTATTGTCTAGATATTTCGAAGGCTACAAAAATAATGAATTTATTCTTCATAATATATTGAGAGAAAATTCTATATTTATCGATATATAGATAATTCGATAGTCATCGATATATCAGTAGTGCTTGATCGAACGATAGTTAGCGATGGTTATCGATATGTCGATTTTTATCGATAGTAATCAATATATCGACAGTTATCGATATTTTTGCCCAGGCCTAGTCATGCTCACTTCGTCCAATTTCATGTTCTGAAAACCAAGGATAATATCCTCTTCAAATCGGCAACACTGTACGAGCAGGCGTAATGACGCAATAGTGTCACTGTCAGCCGTCAGTTCCCCAGGAGCGCAGCTTTTTATTTTTTCCTCAGTCGATTGCGATCGTCTCGCGAGGACAGGCAGACTGTGCGCAAAACCACAGACGTACACGATTAAATAAATAATATTCGCCCTGTGCCTACCGGTTCGCCCTGTAGCCAATCACTGACCCGAAATGAATTCGTCTCGTGATTTACGCGAGAATATTCGTATGTCTGAAGACTGTGGCTTGTAAAAGCGCCTTTCTATTTCCATATGACGAGAACCACTGCATAAGACACGTTTATTATGGTGAGCTGATTTTTATTTAGTTTCCTTCCCTAGACATTTAAAATATTAATAGACTAAATAGTAGGTTACGCCATGTGCTTGTGTGTAGGGAAATCTATTTTTTAATGGGACAGTGGATTAAAGTGGATACATACAAATGCCTGAGCGGTTAACCTTAATGCAGTATTTGTATTTCCGTTCTTACCCAAGTAAGAAACAATCAAGCATGCATACCTACATGCGTTACCTGGTTTTCGCATTAGGCGTTAACGTGCCTATGTACAGAGTGACAATTGAATTACGTTAATTATTCGGCGCCCAACGTGGGGTTGAATACACAGTGTCTCAAACAACATCGTAAGTGCTAAGAAAACAAAGCTACTTACTTACTTACCATGCAAGCAAGGATACAGACAATGAATTAACACATCTCAAAACAAAAGTGAAAATATTTAAATATTTAGATGTTTTTTATTATACAACAGAAAGAAGTATCAGATTTTTTCAGAAAAAAATATCGAGGTATTTACGAGGGTATATTAGGAAAAAAATGTAACCGATCCTTTTTTTTAAACAAAATAAAATTGTGGTCTCATTTAACGACACGAATAATATCAGATAGCTACTGTTTCTTAGAAAAATTAGGTCAAATGTAGAATTATTCACCATTATCATAACTCTAGTTTCATTATATATTTAAATATTTCGAGGGGGAAACAACTACCCAAAATGTGTACACCATATTTGAATATCTGACAATTCAAAAGTACTCAAAATACTTAAAATTAGTACTTAAGGTACTGTTGACAGGTACTTAAATACCTCGTTAAATACTGAAATACTTAAAACGAGACATAAAAGCTTATTGAATATGTACTTAATGAATTGAAAACATAGGCGCCGGAACTTCAAAATACCAAGAGGGGCAGAATAGATTAAGAATATACATATATATACATATACATCATATAAAATGAAATAAATAATAATGAAAACAAACAAGAATTAAAAACAATGTTCATGTAGGTGTACATATAACAGAAAAAATCGAATATCACAAAACCTAGAACAAAATAAAACAGTGAAGAAATTAACAAAACATTGAATAAAAATAAAATATATATGTAACGGTTGTGAGAAAAATATTCATTAGAGAAAGGCTATCGACCGGAGAAGTCTTTGAGCCCATGATCCAAATGTCTTTCATGTTTTCTTCAATCTTTGGGCATTTCTACAAATAAATGAGTTTGCTATTTCACCAATGACTATATCTTGAGTCATTTCTCGGTGACAGAGTGTAACACAATCGTGTTATTCAAACGCTGCTGTGTCATATTATTTCTAAGATATGATTTGAGCCTCCTTAGACAACTGAAGCTTCTCTCAGCGGTGCATGAAGTTGCTGGAATGGTTAATAAAAGCATTACCACTTTAAGATATTCTGGAAGAATAAATTTGTCCTGGGATTTCACACAGCTAGAATGCAATGATGCCAGATTTTTTCTACAATCTAGGGATTTGAAAGATTCATTCAATTGAAATAATATTCTTTGTAGAATTTCAGAGTAGTGTAATATGGAATTCTCAAAAGGGGCGTTGCCCCCATTAATATTTCTCAAGGGGGGCGAGTGCCCCCCTTGCCCCCGTGGAACCGGCGCCTATGATTGAAAATGATACTTAAAGTACCTAAAATTCCATGGTGTACACCTATTTAAAGAGTTGTTTCCCCCTCGAGATATTACGATATTTTTTATCATACAAAAGTATCAGATTTTTTTCAGAAAAAAATATTGAGGTATTTCCGAGGGTATCAGGAAAAAAATGAAACCGAGCCATTTTTTTTAAAACAAAATCAAATTCTGGTCTCATTCAACGACACTAATAATATCAAATAGCAACTGTTTTTTAGAAAAATTGAGTCAAATGTAGAATTATTCACCATTATCATAGCTCTTGTTTCATTTTCGAACGTTATTGCCAAATTGAATTGCCATCGAATATGTTTGGGAAAGTAGGTAGATTTATCTTTACGTCTGCTGTATTCCCCTACTACTTACTATATCTATTACTTACGAGGGTACTTCGAGAGTTGCTGAATACTAAAATACTAAAGAATAGAATAGAATAGAATTTATTGAGTACCAATAACAGCATGTTATTACAGTAAGTCTGAAGTCTCGTATAAGTATAGACAGTGATTTGATTTTTTTTTCAAGATAACGATAGCAGCAGTAGGAATATTCACCTCCGTTCAGGGTTGGCACGAATTGATTTATATGAATTAAACTCGGAATTGAATAATTGATTTAATTCCTGAATTTATTCAATTTTCTGTATCGCTTGGAACGCACGAAAGGAAATCCCTATAATGTTCAAAGAACATCGTGCGTTCCTAGGGAGGATAGGGACAGGAGGTAGGTATTGGAATTTTTTTCAACTTCTGGAGATTATATGTTGTTGGGAATACAAATTAGTGAAGGGATGATAGCAGAGATTTCCGAAGAACATTTCCCGTGGAAGTATCGATAGAAATGTGAAAGGTCGCCGAACTTTCTACGGTGTTCCAGAACCATATACCATATTTTCTATAATGGAATCCTCACATTGAAAACAAAAGTCTCCAAGAAGAAAACTGTATCATAAATATCTTTATTTCTGACAGTGACATTATAAGCTTATATCGTCATAGTTACGATATCTATAATGAGGGTCACAACTCCCTTGGGATGTTATAGATGCTATAATTCCCTCTAGCTAAAATAAAATAAGAAATGCATAGCAACAACCACGCAATAACGTAGCAATAAGGAATCTCCTATTCGCGGTAGTCAAGATCATCATCTGACGTTCTGATGACATTGAAACTATACGGAAAAACATGTCTAACTTCCAATCGGGAAGGTATCTAATGAATGAAATCAGTCAGAAATAAAATTATCTATGTATCACGGGAATTACTGAGCCTCAATAACCTCTGGCAATTGCTGTCCCTCGGGCCAGAGGCCCCTGGGACGCAAACTTTGCCATCGGTAATTAAGGCCCTCATAATTCCCTTAATACATAAATAACTATTTTATGTCATGTTCTACATCTACGTTCAATAAAATTTGATGTTTTTCCGAGTGTTTTTCCGTTGAGAACAGCGGCTATGTGACAAAACTCTCCTCAATTCCATCATTTATTCCAGAAAGGTACTAAGAGCAATTTTTTTCAAAACCATTCACATCATTGAAATGGAACCTATGGAATTCTCGATACAACGTATCTCTATGAACTCGTATATTCGCGAAAATCACGAACCAATAGATGGCTCTATTAAACGTCAAATCAACGTCAGATTTCAAACTGAGTATGAACAACAAAAACATTGCCGTATGCACTCATTGCAAATTGGTTATTTCGAAATCATTTTGCAAAATAGTGAATAATAAGTTGACTTCGTGAAATACGTACAAGGTTTCCAGTATGGAAAAAATTACTTTTTGTGCAGAGAAATCGCCATTTTGATGTGGACAATGGTGGTATTCATCATTGATATCACACTACAATAATTCCACAGTTCAAACATATGAAATGGTCGGAATGGTCCACTCAACACTTGCATGGATGGAATGGATGAGCAATCAGCAATATTGAAAAGATATTACATTACATTGAAATCAGAAAATAATCGACGTAAAATTGGAAGTTTTTAACAGGAATGACACCTGCGTTGCAGGGATCTTTATAATTCTTCTGAAGTAATCAAATACTTGTCAGTCTGATTCTGTTGTTTAATTGATTTCATAAAATTACGAATTTAGTGGTTGTTTAGTAATTTACGAAACCGCGAAGTCGAATGGAAGATAAAAGGACTTCTTCTTCTTTCTCGCTTATTTTTTGGAACTATACCACACAAAATCATCAACAGTGTATATATATGTTGTATACAGGGTGGCATTGAAATAAGTGAAAATATTTCAAACACTGAGAAAGCTCGACTTGTACTATCGAATGGCACTAATGAAAAAATAAACTTGGGATCGAAATAAAATTAGAGGTTAGACCCCTTTTTCCACCCAAAGTTCTACACTGTAGCAAATTTGACGTCACCTCTGTTCGAATTTCCATGCGGTAGGCACAATCACGCGGAGTTCAATCATTTAAATTGTTTTAAAGTGGTGTACTTGATTTTTTTCTCGTATTTTGTTCAATTTTTGGGATTAAATTCCTCATTAATTAGAAGAATTAGAAAAAATCTGATATCATGGGAATATTCCTTAGACTGTATCATATTAATGTGCTGAATATTTGCACTTATTTCAAAAACACCTTGTATATCCAGAAAAACAGTAATGTATGAATAGTGGCATTTTATAACCTGTCAACAGAGATGAAATTCCAAACTTCTTCTACGTTACAAAAAAATAAAAAAAAATTTCAAATATTTTTGTGTCTAATATTTTTCGATACCATTACAATCATACTTGTATTCCGATGAGAATAAGAAAACAATCTCGTGTTGTTCACACCACATAGCATGCAATAATAAAAAAATGGTTTTAACCAGGACCCTCACAATTTTCATTATTTTCACAATCTGGTGAGGAGAAAACGAGATTGCTCTATTTTTTTCATCGGAATGAAAGTATATCACCACTGTCAACCTATTCAGGATGTTTCGATACTCAACTAATAAACTTTTTCTCCATGTGTTATGCACTTTTTGAATGACTCTGTATAGATCCTGTAGCACAAAATAGTTGCATATATATCTATTATTTCGTATTCAATCATTATTCTCAATTTTGTTCTGCAAAAATTGCTTGTTTTGTTATGTTATGCTACAAGATTTGTATTTGGATTTGTCTGCATTATTTCAAAAAGTCCGACTTTTTCGACTTTTTTATAAAAGTCATTACTTATTTCATCCCTGCCTCCGTTAAATGTTTTGGAAAACAATAATTTTACGTATTTGTCAGAATTAACAGCTGATGGTCAACAAGTTAGTTTTTCACTCGGTTTTTCACTAACACGTAAGT